ACAGCAGAGACCCATAGACTCACACAGCAGAGACCCATAGACTCACACAGCAGAGACCCATAGACTCACACAGCAGAGACCCATAGACTCACACAGCAGAGACCCATAGACTCACACAGCAGAGACCCATAGACTCACACAGCAGAGACCCATAGACTCACACAGCAGAGACCCATAGACTCACACAGCAGAGACCCATAGACTCACACAGCAGAGACCCATAGACTCACACAGCAGAGACCCATAGACTCACACAGCAGAGACCCATAGACTCACACAGCAGAGACCCATAGACTCACACAGCAGAGACCCATAGACTCACACAGCAGAGACCCATAGACTCACACAGCAGAGACCCATAGACTCACACAGCAGAGACCCATAGACTCACACAGCACAGACCCATAGACTCACACAGCAGAGACCCATAGACTCACACAGCAGAGACCCATAGACTCACACAGCAGAGACCCATAGACTCACACAGCAGAGACCCATAGACTCACACAGCAGAGACCCATAGACTCACACAGCAGAGACCCATAGACTCACACAGCAGAGACCCATAGACTCACACAGCAGAGACCCATAGACTCACACAGCAGAGACCCATAGACTCACACAGCAGAGACCCATAGACTCACACAGCAGAGACCCATAGACTCACACAGCAGAGACCCATAGACTCACACAGCAGAGACCCATAGACTCACACAGCAGAGACCCATAGACTCACACAGCAGAGACCCATAGACTCACACAGCAGAGACCCATAGACTCACACAGCAGAGACCCATAGACTCACACAGCAGAGACCCATAGACTCACACAGCAGAGACCCATAGACTCACACAGCAGAGACCCATAGACTCACACAGCAGAGACCCATAGACTCACACAGCAGAGACCCATAGACTCACACAGCAGAGACCCATAGACTCACACAGCAGAGACCCATAGACTCACACAGCAGAGACCCATAGACTCACACAGCAGAGACCCATAGACTCACACAGCAGAGACCCATAGACTCACACAGCAGAGACCCATAGACTCACACAGCAGAGACCCATAGACTCACGCAGCAGAGACCCATAGACTCACACAGCAGAGACCCATAGACTCACACAGCAGAGACCCATAGACTCACACAGCAGAGACCCATAGACTCACACAGCAGAGACCCATAGACTCGCACAGCAGAGACCCATAGACTCACACAGCAGAGAACCATAGACTCACACAGCAGAGACCCATAGACTCACACAGCAGAGACCCATAGACTCGCACTGAAAGACCCATAGACTCACACAGCAGAGACCCATAGACTCACACAGCAGAGACCCATAGACTCACACAGCAGAGACCCATAGACTCACACAGCAGAGACCCATAGACTCACACAGCAGAGACCCATAGACTCACACAGCAGAGACCCATAGACTCACACAGCAGAGACCCATAGACTCACACAGCAGAGACCCATAGACTCACACAGCAGAGACCCATAGACTCACACAGCAGAGACCCATAGACTCACACAGCAGAGACCCATAGACTCACACAGCAGAGACCCATAGACTCACACAGCAGAGACCCATAGACTCACACAGCAGAGACCCATAGACTCACACAGCAGAGACCCATAGACTCACACAGCAGAGACCCATAGACTCACACAGCAGAGACCCATAGACTCACACAGCAGAGACCCATAGACTCACACAGCAGAGACCCATAGACTCACACAGCAGAGACCCATAGACTCACACAGCAGAGACCCATAGACTCACACAGCAGAGACCCATAGACTCACACAGCAGAGACCCATAGACTCACACAGCAGAGACCCATAGACTCACACAGCAGAGACCCATAGACTCACACAGCAGAGACCCATAGACTCACACAGCAGAGACCCATAGACTCACACAGCAGAGACCCATATACGCACATAGCAAAGACCCATAGACTCGCACTGAGAGACCCATAGACTCACACAGCAGAGACCCATAGACTCACACAGCAGAGACCCATAGACTCACACAGCAGAGACCCATAGACTCGCACTGAGAGACCCATAGACTCACACAGCAGAGACCCATAGACTCACACAGCAGAGACCCATAGACTCACACAGCAGAGACCCATAGACTCACACAGCAGAGACCCATAGACTCACACAGCAGAGACCCATAGACTCACACAGCAGAGACCCATAGACTCACACAGCAGAGACCCATAGACTCACACAGCAGAGACCCATAGACTCACACAGCAGAGACCCATAGACTCACACAGCAGAGACCCATAGACTCACACAGCAGAGACCCATAGACTCACACAGCAGAGACCCATAGACTCACACAGCAGAGACCCATAGACTCACACAGCAGAGACCCATAGACTCACACAGCAGAGACCCATAGACTCACACAGCAGAGACCCATAGACTCACACAGCAGAGACCCATAGACTCACACAGCAGAGACCCATAGACTCACACAGCAGAGACCCATAGACTCACACAGCAGAGACCCATAGACTCACACAGCAGAGACCCATAGACTCACACAGCAGAGACCCATAGACTCACACAGCAGAGACCCATAGACTCACACAGCAGAGACCCATAGACTCACACAGCAGAGACCCATAGACTCACACAGCAGAGACCCATAGACTCACACAGCAGAGACCCATAGACTCACACAGCAGAGACCCATAGACTCACACAGCAGAGACCCATAGACTCACACAGCAGAGACCCATAGACTCACACAGCAGAGACCCATAGACTCACACAGCAGAGACCCATAGACTCACACAGCAGAGACCCATAGACTCACACAGCAGAGACCCATAGACTCACACAGCAGAGACCCATAGACTCACACAGCAGAGACCCATAGACTCACACAGCAGAGACCCATAGACTCACACAGCAGAGACCCATAGACTCACACAGCAGAGACCCATAGACTCACACAGCAGAGACCCATAGACTCACACAGCAGAGACCCATAGACTCACACAGCAGAGACCCATAGACTCACACAGCAGAGACCCATAGACTCACACAGCAGAGACCCATAGACTCACACAGCAGAGACCCATAGACTCACACAGCAGAGACCCATAGACTCACACAGCAGAGACCCATAGACTCACACAGCAGAGACCCATAGACTCACACAGCAGAGACCCATAGACTCACACAGCAGAGACCCATAGACTCACACAGCAGAGACCCATAGACTCACACAGCAGAGACCCATAGACTCACACAGCAGAGACCCATAGACTCACACAGCAGAGACCCATAGACTCACACAGCAGAGACCCATAGACTCACACAGCAGAGACCCATAGACTCACACAGCAGAGACCCATAGACTCACACAGCAGAGAC